TAAGTCTTACACTAAAAGGGATTTTGAGGCAGAGTTCCTGGATGGGGGAATCCTTACCTGAGACCACTGGGACTTCTGCCATTTTCTCCCATTCACTCTGTTTTTATTTCTGGCTGGGAATTGATTATCAATGTAATGAAGACAGTCTTTGCAAACATATACGTAGATCATAAGCACGGTAAAATTCAATGTTGTGTTTTAGTGTTTAGTGAAGCGAAAGCAGGCAGTGTAATCCACACGGGTTTCAGTGTAGACAGTGTTTAGTGCCCTCGATGCCTGCAGGTGATGCTGGTTTTTGGTGTTCCGTAGGTGTGTGCAACTCTCAGGTTGTGTGGATGGGGCAGACAGTGGTTTATGGGTGTCACCAGTAAATTAATATTAGTGCTGATGCAGGCATCCAAATAAAGGTGAACAATGTTGGTTTACTGCATTCTCAAAACAAGTAGAGAATTTCTTGCTTTTTCCATTTGATTTATATAAAAGATAAATTAAGTGTCATTCTCGCTTTGTGCGCTTACACAGTTTAGTAATGACAAACCATAGAGCCGGTACTTTTGGGTGATCTAAATACGAGTTAAATTTTGGTCAAACATTAAAATGTGATTGTGTGTTTAAGGTATAGCTCTGGGGTTTTGGTGAGTCACTGTCATGAGTGGGAGGGTAGTGCAGGCTCTTTCAATCTAGGTTTGTGTGTGTGTACACACTGCATCCACGCTTCAGATGGGGCTGGGAGGGAGAAGGTGCAGAGGAGGAAAGGTAAAGACCCTGTAAAGGTCCTTTGGAAAATCCCATTTTGTCAGAATGTGGAACCTGAAAAGTTTCTGCCTGTGTTAGGTATTACAGTGCGTGTGTCTGAAATTCTCGGAGGTCGTAAGTAAGTTTATGTGCACAGAACATACCTGATGGTTTTTTAGTTGGTTGAGCTGTAAGATACTGAACCACGTGTGCTCTGGATACGGTGGTGGAATAAATTTCTCATACGTGTGGGACTGTGACCGTTAAAACAATCATTACTGAAACCATATACCTTATTTCCTGTAACTAATAGCAGCTTTCTACCTATGGAATATATTAACAATTATTCCTTTGGTTTTGGATTGTTGCTCAACTATTTTGTTGGACAGATATTTAAACATGATCTGTAATTTATGTTGTCTGAACAGCGTTAATTATGGCTTTCTGATGTGAGCTATGCTAATGTTTGTGAAACCACATTTCTGTTTATAAGACAGAGAGAATGTGTGTTCTTTAATAAATGATGGAAAATGATGAGTTTTCTCTACCTAGGTTGGTTAACAAAAATACTTCAGTTGGGGTTCACCTAGAGCTTAAAAAGCCCTGGTTTTTGTGGCTAGTTGAACAGTTAATTCTTCCGTGCCATTAAAGTAAATATTTATTTATTACTCTGTATCATACTCAGAATTTCTTTTAAAGGAGAATTACTGGGTCAAACAGCAGTGGCCCATTTTTTTCTGGACCGTGCTCACTGTGCAGTAGAGCTGAAGCAAATGGACAAAGTCCTGGATGAATGTCACTGCAAGAAGCTGGCTTTGAGACAGCACCCAATTACCTACCTAAATTTCTCGGTACTTCAATATACCTTTGTATTACTCATGTCATTTTTGACGCTGTTACTGCTTGGAAGGATTTACGTATTTCAGATAGTTTCTTATTAATTTATATCCTGAAGAATGTGCTGCTCTGCATGGTGTAGGCAGAGTAACAGATTTGGCAAGTGAAGGGAGCTGCAGGCCTGCGGCTGGGGCTGAGCTGTTAGAGTAACACCCAGGATTGCTGGCTCCGGAGAGGAAGCACTGTAATGAGAAAGAGGAAGCAGTTCTGGTTTTCTAATATTTGTTTTCTTTGAAATGGGAAAAAGAATACCTGGAGTGATTTATATTTAATTGGGGATTGTATTCCATCAGATACGGTGAATGTTCTCAGGCCATTTATCAGCTGTGTCTTTTCGAGACCTCTGAGGAGTATATGGTACATATTTACCTTAACTTGGCTAGGTCAAGGGAAATAAAGCAAAAATAATAGATGTTATTTTTGTATGTGAACAAAACTGGAAGCCGTGTGGGTGAAACATGAGGTCAACGACTGTGTCCTACCTCCTCTGTACCTTTTTAAATACAAGAAATTATTAGTTATATATAATATAATTTCCTTTGCATTATCAGTGTATCGTTTTAAAACAGAAGATTTATTGACTTTTTCATTGCTCTAGCTTAGTCTACCCCTGAAGTCGACATGACATATATTGTGCTGCCATTATTTTGTAGTAGTTTCATATTTAGGTAGCATCTTGTGAAAAACAAAACAAGAACAAAATGTGCCATATATTGCTCCTTATATAACATTTTTTTCTAAATTGAATTTGATGTATATTGCTGGTAATTTATACAAATCATACGACACCAGAAGCCTACAAGTGCTAGTGACGATTTTAGTGATTTTAGTACCTAAACTTTTTTTGGGAGCGAGAGTTTTGTAAGAAAACCTTTGCGCTTCAGATCGTCTCTGAAAAATGTGTCATTGCTGATTTTCACCCTTGTGTGCTGCTGCCATGGGGTCTACGGGTGTTATTGTGAAGAATTACATAGCAGGAGCCATCTAACACCGCTCTGTGATGCATCCACAATTTCAACCCTGTTTCCCAGTGTAAATAGCTAAAGGGAGTTTATTGTATGGCAATACTCGTGTAATATTTGCATAACGCGTTTTTATTAATAGTTCTAAAGGTAGAATAAATGCAGAGTAACCTAACTGCCAGGATCCTTAAGCAAGAAGGAAACCTGAGAACTGAAAGTCTCTTACCGTCAGCACGTACAGTCATTCTCTGTCCCCATGAGGGACGTACAGTGAAAACTGTTGCAAAATAAAACCAAAAAGCACACTGTTGATTCAGCTAAACCTAGCGATAAAACCAGTTTCAGAACTAGTCTGATGAAGTGCAATTTGATCAGATATTTCATGAGCAAATTACTTTATTGCTGATCCCGCTAATGATTTGTAAATTAACTGCAGTGCCTTCTCCCTGAGTGACTGACTCAGTGGCATTTACCAACTTTTCACGTACCCCTTTTTTTTAGGGGCTGAATTTGCAAAACACTTCCCTCTAGTCCTTTGAGTTAAATTTTCGGCGACATTTGATGACAAGCGTAGCATGATTAATTACAAATTGTTCTTTAGGTGAATAGTGCATATTCTAAAACACAGCTTGTGTTTTTATAGCAGTTATTACCCTGCAGGCTCCAAAAGGGCTTTGGAGTAGAGAGTATGATTTCGGTTACATCATTGTAAATTCAGAAAACGTCAATGATCTCAAAAGTGTGATTTTTGAAATTAGGTCAGTGGAAAAGAGATCAGAATCTGCTTTTCTACCTGAAAAGAAGCAAACTCCAAAATGGAGTGAAATCTCTGCTTCAAGAAGGCTATCATTTTTCTTTTGAAAGGAACATATTTTATTTTGAAAGGAAAATAATTTATTTGAAACAGTATGGGGGAGTGAATAATAGAGCAAATTATAATCTGAATCCAGCCTGAATTATGGCAAGAAAGTCAGAATTTGGAATAGTTTTTCTCTTGCTGATTGATTGGTAATGACCCAGGAGATCTGCATTGCCGTTTCATCTTGTACCATGATAGGCCAGTGACTCAAAGCTATCTAGACTTTTCTTATATTTTGTCTTCCAATTAAATTTATTCAGTGTTTTGATTTCTGTTGCTGCCTAGTTGAGCTTTTCTTAGCTACAATGCACTTGTAAGGGTTTTTGTTTTGTTGGTTTCTACCCTCTGATTACAGAATACATAATGTTTTTAACCTGAACTTGAATTTAACTTAATTTCGAGATTGAGATGATGATTGAAATTTTCTGGAGAGTATGTAGTTCTCTGAATTCTCACTTCTTGTCACCAGAGGGTTTGAGAAGATAAGGATTACAGTTTGAAACCACTAGAAATTACAGGTCAGGAAATGGATGTATGGTCTTGTAATATACAGCATCAAATACGAAGCCTAAGCAAGTAAGTTTAACGGAGCGTCCTCCCTTGTTAGGATATGTTGAGAAGGAAACTATCAGAGGCAGTCATTGATGTTGAATACGTTTCAGGGTTTTGTTTTCAACTTTTGTATGTGATGGTTTTTCTTGAAGCATCTGAAAAGCAGCTTTTCAGTACCCCAAGTCTGTGACTCATGAAAGAGGTGAGCAATAGTGACAGGTTTTTCGTCTTTCCCCTTACTTTGGGCAGCACGTTTTGCATCCTGTTTGTGAGCAGCTCTGCGGCTTCGCATCCGAGAGCTTCCTTAAGCCCGTGATGCTGTTCTCTTCCAGCCATTTTGGAGTACTCAAAAAAACCACAACAAAACACCCTCATGGTTTACATCTCCTGGAGGGTCCAAGCGTGTTGTTCGGGTGGTGATCCCAGCTTGCAGTGATGCAGGAGAGAGCCCTGGGGTGATGCTCAGCCTGCACCTCCCCAGGCTGCTCTCTGGCTTTAGGTCATTTGCCTAAATTACTGTTATTAGCAAATCTTGGGGCCGAAGTGTATTTGAATTGTTCTTTATTTTTATCTTGCACCAGGAAAAGGGAGGAAACCTGTGTGACAAGGAAGAAACTAATTCCTAACCTATGTAACAATTATATGTATTTGAGTGAGTGTGTAAAGTAAAGCTGCTTTTAAATATCTGATTGAAAACAAAACAATAAATTCAAAATACAGTATTTTTAAGTTCTGAACGTTTTGATGCATTTAAAAATTACAAACAGTATCTTCTGATGGTTGAAACTAATACGCGTGATAAGTTTGTCATTGTAATTGCTAAGTAGCCTTTTCTGAAGTAAACTCATTAAAACAATATGAAAGATTAATTTCGCAGGAAGACAGAAGACACTGTAAGGCCTTGCGATATGTTTCTGCTTTTTCCAATACAATTTTCTTAGATAATAAAGAAGATGTATTTCTAAAGTAAAATATTTCTCTCTTCTCTTTTTCAGAATCCGAAAGTCCTTGGAAAATGAGTGTTCTTCTCATTGAAGCTTTTTATGGTGGTTCCCACAAACAGCTGATGGATCTTCTCCAGGAAGAGCTACAAGAAGACTGTGTCCTCTGTACGCTCCCGGCCAAGAAGTGGCATTGGAAAGCACGGACTGCTGCTCTTTATTTCATGCAAACAGTGCCAACAAGTACTAATTACAGGTAACCCAGGAATTGAATCATTTCTAAACACAAATTACAGAGAGGCCTTCAACCAGGTCTCTTGACCTGAATCTTCAGTTATGTGCATGCAAGTATATGTGCGCAACCAAATGGAGACTTGCCACGGACAATACAAGTTTTTCTTCTTGCACTGACTTCTTAGGGTATAATTGGGGAAATTACTGCTATGTTTCAGAGTTTACTAGACTACCTTGTCTTGCGTCGTGAGTCCTTGAGAGTCTCTAAGAATGCAAGTATATGGATATCTGTTTGTGTACACATATGTATGTACATCTTATTTTAAAATTATCAAGTGAATTCTGTAATACTTGAAAGGTTTAAAGTGTGCTTCACAGATGAGGCTGAAAGATGGCACAGATGTGAACACTGCCAGCTTCCTCACTTGCCCTCTGATGTATTTGTTAGCAAGGCTGACTTATCAGAGAGTACTACTCAGGCTGACCTGGAGGATTAAGGGAGCACTTTTATCTTAATGTCGGTCCGGTTCTGTAATGTGCCAGCAACTGTGGATGTCAATTATGCATTTATGCAAGTGGCAAATTTCTATCAGCTAGAACCCGGACTGATGAAAGCGGGCTGTTTATGTCAACAGATAGCTATCATGTAGTGAGAATCAGTCACTCCAGAACCAAGCTGTCTTTAAATCCAGCAATTTTGCTTGGCTTACCTGATCAGTTGGGATGTGGTCAAATGATTGTCTTGAGCAGTGACATAGCGCGTGGTGCGGTGCGTGCTCCGCTCAGGGTGTGCCACAGAGCATCACGGTGTGGGTAGTAAACGAGCACTCCGTTGGCTTTGGACCTTCATGGAGAGAGGCCGTTCATGCATGGGGAAATTTTAGCACAAACAGCCGCTTTTCAGCCACAGAATGAACTTCAGCAGGGCCCTGAGCACACCTAAATGATGTGCTGACTAGTTACAGTTCAGAACTGGGTCTGGTATTTGTTACTGGGAGCAAGTAGATATGGTTGGCTGGGGAAGAAATATGATTTTTCAAGAGTAGATCTTGTGCTATAGAAGGCTACATTTGAGCAGTGTTACCCAACACAATGTCTAATCCATTTTGGAATGCATACTATATAAATGTGCACCTTTGCTGTGCCTGCTTCTGGCTTGCATTTAAAATAAGCTACCATCCCCAGCCAAATGTTATAATTAATTTTCCCCGGTTTGTCTTGTGCGAGGTATTTAGCATTGGTTTCCTATTGCTTTCCTTTCGCAACAATTTTGTTTTGGAGGAGTGTATATGACAAACTGTTATGTAAATTTGTCTTGTATCGCAACCACATCCTCCAACGCATGGCAATGTTATCTGTGTTCCTTCAAGGTCAGCAGCCCAAGCTGTCCAGCACTAACTGTATTAAACTAATCAGACATCACTCATAGACACACACTTCATTAGTTTAACTTACAGTTACATTGACCTAAGATAACTTAACTCCAATTTGTCAAGTAACCCACATCTTGGGGGAAGGGGGAGAGAATGATGACAAAAAAAAAAAAAAAGAAAAAAAACAAAAACCAAAAACCAAAAAAACAGAACCCCACAAAGAAAACAACAAACCCAACAACCCGGCAGCTTGAAAACTCACTTGAAGTTAATAAACTTGCAATCTGTCATAGACTTATGTGCAAATATAACCTTTACTGACAGCAAATAAATCTGATCTAACCAATAGAGCATCTTAGAGAGAGGAAAGCTTTTGCTTTGCTGTTGCTGTTAGGGTTTGATCAGACAGATTCGAATAGTCAAAGTTGACAAAGATGCGATTTTTAAAAAGAGTGTGTACCTCTTCCTCACAAGCAGGATAAAATTTTAGGAACAAGGGCTGATGTGACTGGTGAAAGGAAATCTGATTAGAGGTACCTTCTACTTGACTTGCGCATTTTTAATGTTTGTTTTGTAATTGAATGTTTCAAGTATTTTATTAACTTGAAAGTATAAGTGCATCAGACTACAACCTAATGAGGCTGACTACTCTCTCCTATTAGAAAAAACATTGATTAAAGTTAACATTGATTCTTCTATTTCTAGCTTGCTAGTAACCACCAAAGATCTGCTTCCCAGGTTGTAGTTTAAGACAAAATTCTCATTGCAAACTGGCAGGAGCATGTGTTTTGAATGACACATTTAAATATTTCAACCTTCTTGTGAGGTCATGGGAAATACCAAATTTACATTATTTATAATATTGACATTATTTGTAGAATAAAAACTTTATTTTACAAGTGATTTTCATAAAGGTGACATTTCACAAATATATTGCTTCTATTTGTGCGTTTAATAATACAGAAAGGTCACAAATATTTTGAGTACAAACACTTTGTAACAGAGCTGCATTACTAAATTTTGTTTTCAAACTGTATTTTATTTCAGGATGCTGTGTGTGAGAAATTACACTGATGCTAGTAAGTCTGCTGCTGCTATACATCTATACAGCAGTAGTATACACAGGTTTTAAAAGATCTATACTTTTATACATACAGGCTGATTATGGGAAGGAAGGAGTTTGTTAGTTTTCAGGTGACGTTCAGTGAGTTTAAGGAACAGTCTTAAAAAGTGCTTTTGAAGCAGAGTAGACGATGCAGAGTCATAGATGTTAAATTCAAATACTCTGCAGCGACCGGAGAGTTTATGGGATGAACTTTCAAATACTTTCATCGGAGAACAGAGATGTACTCCCTTGGGCAAGAATTAAAGTTGAATTGGTAACAAATTGTGCCTCGAACATTACTTTTGCGAACGGTGTGGCCGATACCTTGGTGTGCAATAAAATGATGTTCCTGTGCAAGAATGAGGAGATCTACCCGGAATTGTCAGAGGGAGGAGGTGTCCTTGCCCTTCAAGGGGAACACATGTAGCTATTATGGGAGGCATCGGACACCTGGTATTTTCTGTGCAACACTGCATAGTTTTCTGTTGCTTCCCTGATGCAAATTCTGTGCTGTGTTTCTCTAAAAAAAATGTTGCTTTTCTGTTTTCATGGCTTCATTGTGCAGTGCGTCGTTTAAACCAGCTCACGTCTTCATTCATCTCCTCAAAGGAGGATGGCAGCCCAGATGAACGGGGAAGATCAGGCACGCAGCGAGTCCCTCCAACTTGGAAGGCCATAAGGACAGTTTTTAAAGGTGGCTTCCTTGGCTAGTAAACTTGAAATGGTCTAATATATTGATGTACAACAGCCACAGCACTGAGCATTTTTAAGAACTTTCTTAATTGCTAGACAGACTCACGTGATTTTTTTTCCTTAATTGAAAAGAAAGTGCCTGTTTGCACATTGCATTAGTACAACGAGTTTCGTCCTTGCGGTGGCAATTTCCAAATCACAGCATTCGAAATGTACTGAAAAAGGGCACAATTACTGTCTGTTTTCTCTAGACAAGTTTTTCAACAATTAGAGTTTTGGAATTGTTGATGGAATATCATAATTGTCATTCTCTAAATTAGGAAGGTCCAGCAGAGAGACATGACCTCCTCAGGCTGCTGGCAGCCTGCAGAGCTGCTGCCTTGTCTGCTTTGTCTCCCAACTTGCTTTAGACAGCTTAAACTCTTTGATAAATGTAGATGTCTGATCTTGTCTAAAGTTGTTTTCCGTAGCACATAGTGACTATTCAGTAATTCTGGAAAGCACGTAACAAAAATACTATTTTTAGCCTCTTTTTCTTCTTAATTCAAGGAAAGTTCTCAAATTTGAAAATACTGTTGCATGATTTAATGAAAAACAAAACAAAACAAACCAGCTTGCTTTTCTTCTTTCTGTATTTCTGTTCTTTATTACCATGAACAATCTTTTAAATTTCAAATAATAAAACAGTTGATATGACACACTAGAGGAAAACATTGTATATTGTAGGGACTGTCATCCACAGAAAGTAGTTCAAACCCCAAGAAGTTAGTAGTATAAGAGATCTGGAAAATGGAAAGACTAAATGCAGTGTAGCTTCCAGTTTGTTTTAATAGCACTGCTAGATTATTTTAAATATATATATTATAAATATTATGTGTAGCATTCAGTATTGCCCCCCAGGTAGCTGTTCATATGAATAAAGATTTTATTTGTAACAGACTCTAGCCCTAGGGTAAATGTTAGCATATATATACCCACTGATATTTGACAGCTATATTTTAAAGACAAAATCTATGCTTTTTACATTTTACAAAAGAGAAAACAAATCATTGTTTTCAATTAATAGAGCTCTGAAAAATAACAAACCTGGAGGGGTATAGTGTTCAGCAATGTATAGTCTATTCCAGCGATATATAATGTAGATGTTTGGTTTTGATATTTTTTTTGGTGTGGTTTTTTTTTTTTTTTTTTAATAACCTGTTAAGACTACAAGATCTAGGATTGTTTCTGATCTGATGCTTTCATTCTGTTCTATGAGGAGAAAATGTATTATACAGTGAATTCTTTACTAACTGATGGATGGGTGTCACCTGACTGTCCTCTTAAAAACAGTGATCCTGTAAATTTTTATTCCAATGCGTATTTGAGTCCCGCTGAAAACAAACACAGCTTGTACGTGTGAGCATTCGTAAGTTAGTGTACTTACTGGTCTCTAGATATTTTCTTTCCAAAAACCCACTTGCAAGTAATGTGTCCTGGGGAGGATGTTTAAAGATGTGAATTGAAGCAAGGCAGGGCAAATTTCAGCCATTTCATTAAAGCTGAATACATAGATGCCTATATGTGCTGGGAACATTTCTGTCTTTTTACATCTTTATGTCAAATACTGGAAGTGCAGCTTTATAATCTTTGTAGGAAGTGCAATATTTTTCCCTGCATTAGAAGCCTTCCCAACATTTGACTCTAATAGCACTCAGGTAAGAAATAAATAAATTGTATGTGTGAGTAGTACACTAGTTAAATAAAAGATAACTGTGCACCTTCAAATAAAAAAGTTTACCTGATACTATTTTTTTTTTTTTTTTGGCATATTTTATGTTGTTTGCTTCTGTATATAGGTAAATAAAACTT